CCAGCTGGGCAGTCTGCGCCTTGGGCTGCCCTCCCTGCTCAGGCCACCAAGAGGGTTGCCTACCCCTAGCCATCCTTTGTCCCCATTGGGTCCTGGCCGACGTGCCCACCTCCCTGCGTCCCACTCGTGTTGCCCTGGCCCCTGGAGTGGCGCCTGCATGACCGGTGTGTCCCTGGCAGAGCAGAAGGAATACCAGGTTCTCGTATATGCGGCTGTCATAGGATGAGGGCCCGGGGCTCCTGAAGCCTGGCAACCAGCCCCAGGGGACACAGAGCAATGGGCAGTCACGTGAGGCCCTATCTGAGGTGTTTGCCCAGCCACTGTTGTCCCCCAAGACCCCCAAGCCAGTGTGGCCACCAGGCTTCATAGCAGCCCTGGTACGTTCCCCAGAGCCAGGCTAATGTTCCCCCGAAATCCCAAATGCCCGTTTCTGGAAGGTTCCATGGCAGCTCGCAGGTTCCAGGAGCATCTGGAGGAAGTGCCCTGGGAACCCCAGCAGAGAAGGTGATGTGACACGGAGAACGGCCATGCTGGGCACCCTCCTCTGCCCCTGCACCCACGTCCCCGCACACGGCCCCGATGACCCACAGCCTGGACATCTCAGCCCTGGAAACAGGGTCTTCTGCATTGTTGCGTTTTGTGTCAGTATTTGCCTAGAACGAGCTGGCATTGCACCTGGTCCTGGGGAGAAAGACAGGTGGTCCTGCCCACCTGTGGCGCAGAATCCAGAGGATGTTGCTCCCAGGAGGAAGCTGGCCTGGGGGCTGTACCCCACCTCCTGCCGCTTTGGTCCGAGGCACCTCACCAGCTCCTGCTTGGGGCTGTCCTGTGTGGTGCGTCCCAAGGGCTGCAGGGCTGGTCACCGGGCAGTGGTCCGTTTCTAGTGAACAAAGGAGGCCTCAGCCAGCGTCCCGACCAGCTCCAGACAGCAGCAGCTGCGTGCGCCCCCAGACCTGGGGGGTGCGAGATGTGTTGAGCAGCCTGTTGCTCTCAGGTTCTTAAAATGTATTTTCTTCGCCTTGTCAGAGCCCTCAAGATGCTGGGTTGCCATAGAGATGACTGGTTAAAATTCCCCGCAGCCGTCCTAATTATAGCTTCAGAGTGTGGAGTGCGGCTGCGAAGGGAAACCAGGGGCCCGAGAGCTGCCGCGCGGCCGGGTTTCTCCATCCTCGGTGGGGCCTACGCGCGGAGAGCACGGGGACCCAGTGAGGCGATGACATGTGCCGAGGACCCTGCGGACACGCGCCTCCCAGCAGCTCCGCCTCCAGAGCTCCGACTGGACACACAGGCCGAGCTGGACTAGAGCCAGTAGGACAGCGTGTGCAGGGCATGGCCGGACCCGCCCCAGGGGCCCCGATGTCCCCGGGGAGGCCTTTCCCGCTCACCTGGCTTGTCTTTGGGGCCCAGTCCCACGGCATCACCTCCTCCGAGATCAGTCCATTTTCCATCTGAGAAGGTGGACACACAGCCAGGCACACAGCCGCCCCGCCAGGGGCTGTCCCCAGAGCGCCTGCCCCTTGGAAGCGCCCCACACACGTATTCTCTGAGGACATGTGTCGTTTTCTTCTTTTTACACTGCCGCTGTCACTTTAGGTCAGGAATAGGACTGTGAATTTCCGAGCAGAAACTCACATACTTAAAATGTGACTGTTGTTGAGCCGTCGGCCCAGGCAGCTGATGGCCCTGGCCTGCGAGGGGAGGGGACCTCACAGTAACCTCGGGGCTTGAGCTTAGGAAGCCAGGTGGCGCTGTCCTGCCGTGTCCAGCGCAGCCCTGCACGTGGGGTCTTCTAGCAGAGTCCAGAGCTGGAACAGGTTTGGGTTTTGGTGACTGCCATTGTGGGGTGTGGGTTTTTCCAGGAAGGTAGGTACTCAGGTGATGGAGACGGTGAGGAGGCTGTCACCCCAGCCCAGCCCTCAGAGAGACACCAGGCAGGCAAAGCAGGAGAGGGGCGTCCCACAGGATGCCTGACCCGTGCTCCTCAAACCGCCAAGGTCATCATAGCCAAGGACATCTGAGAAACTGTCACAGCCCATAGGAGCCTGAGCAGACATGACGACTAACAGTGTGGGATCTTGGATGGAGGACAGGTCAGGAAGTGGCCATCGGGAAAGCTAAGGCAATTGGAATAAAGTGGTACCTTAGTTAATCATAATGTGTCAGTATCTGCTCATTAATTGTAACAAGTGTATCAACATCTGTGAGATGGTAGCAGTGGGGCAGACGGGGTTGGGGTCTGTGGGAACACTGCACAGTCATCCCCTTTGTCCGCGGGGACACATTCCCAGACCCCCAGTGGATGTGTGAACCACGGATGGTACCGGACACTGTAATATACTTGCTTTTTCCGGTACCTACACACCTATGACAGAGTTTAATTTATAAACTAGTCAGAGATTAACAACAAGGACTAGTGATAAAATAGAGCAGTGATAACAGCCTGCTGGCATAGACTTATGCGCCTGTGGTCAGTGCTCAGGGGTCCCTTGCTGAAGTCCTCACAGAGGCTCCACGCTTTCCGGAAGCACGCTGTCGTCACTCGCAACACGTTTCCCGTCCGCCTCCCACCACCAGTTCAAGGCCTGTCCCCTCCTAACTAGCACTCGCCACGCTCTGTGGCCGGAACCTTTGTGGCCTGAGGGGCGACAGCAAAACTGGCACAGATTTCTTCACCGTTTCACAGATAGAAGAGTCGTCCTCACCATAGATCTCGGCAACCTCCGCACACGGTACTTTTCTTTCCTCGTTAAGTCGAGAGCTTTCACCTCTTTACTTCAGGAAGCACTTCACGGCTTCTCTGTCATGCCCGACTACCAGCACCCCACTCCTGCACTTTGGGGCCTTTACTAAGGAAGATAAGGGTGACTTGGACGCAGCACTGGGGTAACGTGACAGTCGATCCGAGACCGAGACTTCCAGCCTCCAGAAGCAAACTGTAAAGAAGATCCTGATAAAAATTCTGAGTTTTTCTCCCCCTCAGGTTATTAAGGTCTCCATTTCCTTCTGAAATTTGTCATTTTACTTCTCATGTTTAAGTCCTTATTTTTCAAGGTGACAAATTTGCTTATGGGGTGAGGCCGGTGCCTCAGTCAGCTCGCACTGACATCACAAGACCCTAGACTGGGGGTGACACGATAGACCCCTCTCAGTGCTGGAAGCTGGAAGTCTCAGAGAAAAGTGCCAGCAGGCTTGGGTTCTGCAAGGGCCTCCTTCCCGCCATGTCCTCACGTGGCCGAGTGTCCTCATGTGGTCCAGTGTCCTTACATGACGTGACTGAGAGCGCATGGCGGCTCTTCCTTATTATGAGGACACTAATCCCATCATGGGGGCCCCACCCTCATGACCTTCTCACCCTAATTACTTCCTTAGAAGCCTCACCTCCAAATGCAGCCACACTAGGTGGGGGTCAGTGCTTCGACATATGAATTGGGGAGGTGGGGGGCATAGCCCCCATCAGCAGGGATGCAGGTTTTCTCACTGTGGATACTGGGGTGTTGCTCTTGCACCCATGGGGGTCACGTGGGGCTCCCTGTCCTGTCCCCTGGGTTGGTCCCGCCTGCTGTGGGCTCCCTGGCACTTTGGCCCCTGCCAGGATGCCAGGTGGCTTTAATCAAATTTGCAGGATGTCCAGGTGGTGTATTTTTGGACTTTGACATGGCATGAGCACTGGGCGGAAGAAAGAGCCAGCGCATCGGCTCGGTGTGCCCTCATCTGACAGCTCAGCTCCCTCTGTCATCACTGTCTCTCTGTCCCCGTCTGTCTCTGTCCCTCCATGCCTTCTCCCTCTTTCGGGGCTGGGCAGGGCGTGTGAATGCCACATGAGGGGACGGTCAGTCCTGGGGCATCAGCAGTGACCACATGGCCAGGCTTCCTCCAGCTCAAGCCAGGGGCTGCGCCCTGTCATCTGGGCAGAGGCCCTGGGGTGGCCCCAGGACCAAGGCAGTGCCGCTCCCTCCCGTGGACCCCTGGCCCGAAGCCCAAGGCGTGAGCTCCCGGTGTGAGCGGGAGGGCCGGTCGGCTTTGCCTCCTGCCTGGGCCTCTGCCCGCTGGCCGTGGGGCTTGTGGTGCGGGGACTCCAGGCCTCGTGGTTCCGCACTCGACCCTCCAGGAGAGGGAGGAGGCAGGCTCGGGAGCGCCGTGGCCCGACTCCGGCAGGTTCCAGCCAGAGCTGGTCGTTTGCTTGTTTAAAAAACATTCCGCTGCAGTTTCCACATTCGTGTCTTCGTGGCACTTCCATGACTCTGAAAGTCGCTTTTACTGCAGAACTTTATAAAAGCACAAAGCTCCCCTTGTGTCCTGAAGACTTTATTTTCACATACATTCGTTTCAAGTGTTTGGAAGGAGCGAGGTGAGAGCCTTGGGGAGGGAGACTAAAAGCAGCAGCTGCAGCCGTGGCTTTGGCGCCGGCCTTTCCCGTCACAGGGTTTCGCACTATACTTCAGGAGGTTTGAACCATCGGATGTGTGTCGTGAAAGAGACATTTGAGTAACTTGGATCCAACATAAGCGTTCACTTCCTTTGGTTTCCTTCTGTCCAAGATTTGTTCGGCCGAGGGGCCCTCAGGGGGCTCTCGTGTCCAGGGAAGGGGCGGGACAGTGCTGGCTGGATGGCAGCCACTGCCCCTCGGAGGATGGCCAGGCGTGAATATCACAAGCTCACAGCTCATCTGAATCATGTCCTGTGGAGAAGGGGGCCTGTTTTCATACCGGAGGGAAGGGGGTGTGCCGGAAGACCAGTGGGACAGCCCAGGGCTCGGGTGACCCTACAGCCGGCCCCTGGGCAGGTGGCTGTCCGCGAGGCCCCCTGACTGCCGTGTCCATCCTCCCAACCCGTGCTGTGACCTGGGAATTCTGTGAGGAGAGGTAGAGAGGGGCCCGCCACTGGGGGTGCTGTTCTGGCCCTGGCCTCCTGGACGGGAGCAGCGTGTCCCGAAGGCACCTGTGGAGTGGGGCCAGCAGGCACTAGGCTGTTTCTTCACACCTCTCTCATATCCTTTGCAGAATCCATCTACCGCCGTGGAGCCAGAAGATGGAGGAAGCTGTACCGCGCCAACGGCCATCTCTTCCAAGCCAAGCGCTTTAACAGGGTGAGTGCTGCTGCCTTGGGATGCAGGCTCGTGGGCTGTCGCATGTTGTGTACTGTGTGCTGTGTGCCAAGTGTCAAGTGCTTTGTGCTAAGTACTGAGTGCTAAGTACTGTGTCCTGTGTCCAGTGCTGTGTGCTGAATACTGTATGTTGAGTGCTGTATGCTGAGTATTCTGTGGTAAGTAGTGTGTGCTGAATGCTGTGTGCTGAGTATTGAGTACCAAGTGCTGTGCTGAGTGCTGTGTGCCAAGTAGTGTGTGCTGAGTGCCAAGTACTGAATGCCAAGTGCTGTGTGCTGAGTGTCATTTTAAAAGTGAAAAGAGGGGAAGTACTTAATGCCTTGAGTTGAGCCAGGCTCTGTTGAGCACACAGCAGAGAGACCGTCCCGAGCTGGGTACAGAAATACTTTCCCTTCATCACTAATGACCTTCACAAGGCTTCCTGAGCCTGTCAAGTTTCCAGCTCACGTCTTTCCTGGGTGGTGCTGTGTGACAAACGCAGTCAGGTCTCGAGTACCCTCAGTCTCCCGGGTATGCAATCCTCCATCAAGGCGCCATGACGCCGAGGTTCCGGGCTGCTTGCGTCCAGCAGTGGGACTGGATTTGGTAGGTGGCACAGGATACGTGTTGTACTGCACACAGTGTCTCCTGTGACTCCCAGAAGCCCACACATCCCCCGGCCTCTCACCACATGCCCACCGCCTGGCCCTTTGTGAAGGGCACGCGAGCTGAGTTCCCATCGTTTCTTCTCCATGATGCTTTTATATCTAGAAATGACGTAATTCACGTGGCTGCATAATTGTTCCATGTCCCTGTGGAAGGGGAGGTGTCTGCAGGTGCCTCGGTGGCCAAGGACCCTGAGTGTCCTGGGGCTGCTGGAACAAAGCACCACAAACTGGGACCTTAAAACAGAAATTCATTCTCTCACAGTCTGGAGGCTGGAAGTCCAAAACCAAGGTGTCGGCAGGGCCACTCCCTCCGGTGGCTCCCAGGGAGGGTCCCTCCTGCCGCTTTCTACCTTCTGGTGTTGCCAGCATTCCCGGTGTCCTGGGCTTGTCGCTGCTGCACCCTGAGCTCCTGTCTTCACGTGCCCTCCCCTCTGGGTCTCTGTGCCCTTAGAGAGCACCAGCCATGATGAGGGCCACACAGTCAGTACAGGCTCGTGTTAACTAACTACACCTACGAAGATGCTTTTACAGATAAGGTCCCACCCTGAGGTTCTGGGTGCACACGAGCCTGGGGACACTGCTGAGCCAGCACAGCAGCTGGCGTGCTCACCTGAGGGCTTCTGCACTGCTGGGCGCCCTGTCCGCCCACCCCGCATCCCCAGAGCCTGTGCCTGCCCTTCCTTTCTGCCTAGGATCGGATGTCCGTCCATTCAGGATATCAGACAGGGTTCTGGGACCCTGCCCCCAGCTGGTCCAGTGCTGTGCCGTTACCTGCATTACTGGCTGACTCCCTGGCCCAAGACGAAGCCCGCCCAACCAGCGGGCAGCCACGGCCCAGCAGCACAGAGGGGCCTGGCCTTTCCCACCTGCAGGTTTTAGGAGCAAAACCCCTTTCTCTGGTTGCTGGGTACAGACGCTGACACTCCTCTTCTCCCCCCTTCCTGCCCCTCCTGCTACCCCCTCCTCAGAATCGGTTGAGCAGAGGCTTTTCCTCCCCATGGAGAAGCGGGGACCCCATGGGGCACCCCCTACATCCCCGCCCCCACCCCATGACTCGGGCTTCTCTGTGCTGTTGGTCCGCCAGCAGGCACATCCTGTGATGGCTGGAGCCGTTGGTTGTCAGCTCAGCCACACCCCAGGCCCATGCGGGGCAGGATTCAATCAGTTTTCTTAAATGAGCCCAGTTCAGGCTGCGGGTGGATCCTTTTTTATTCTTCTCCAGGAGTAATTTGAGACTTTCAAAGAAAGGAATTTGTGGGGCCCGCGAGTGGCTCAGTTGGTTAAGAGCTCGCTCAAGAGTTTGAGCTCTGAGCAACAAGCGGTTCGAGTCCAGCCCGAGCTGAGCAGCCGCTGAGCTGCCAACAGGTAGCAGGATGGCTCAGCTAAAAATAAAAAAAATAAAAAAAACAAAAACAAAGAAAGGAATTTGTTAAAAATTACAAAAGGGGACTAAAACATGTAAATGAGTCAAGGCTGGGGAAAAATTCTAATTGGGGAACCCAGGTACCTGCTGAGGTGCAAATGTGCCAGGCAACTGGATAACTGACCCCCCCCCCCAGGGGACAAATGTGTGGCCAGGTCTCTGAACATTCAGCCTCACGCATTTTGAAACATTCAGCCATCAGGATCACCAAACAAGCTGATAATTACCACTGATTTCAGACTGTTTAGAACCATGGGATTATTCAAATCTTTAAGCATATTGAAAAAATTATCAAGATAATTGTATCCTGCCCTATAGCAGTTCAAAATAATGACCTGTCAGAATGCCAGGCAGTCACTTTCTTCGTGGTCCTCGTTTGGGTGAGATGTTTGGATGAGCGTGGCTGCCCCCACGCTCCTCTCAGCCTGGCTCACCCCACCCAGACGGGACCCCAGTGGCTGTTCTTACTCAGCCCGGCAGGAACTACAGTCCGTGCCCCCCCTCAACACACACACACAAGGGGGCCTTGCCCTGGAGGGGTCTCGTCGCCCTGTCTGACGGTCCGCCCTTTGCCCCTCGCAGAGCAGGATCCAGAGGAGCCGCAGTTCTCCCCAACCTTGGGATGGGCCCAAGTGGGTGCTACTGAGCCCAGGCAGGGCCTGGTGCCGGATGTGACAAGGGGACAGGGCCACCTCTTGCCCCAGCTCCATGTCATTTTTTGAGAAAATCGGGGCAGGTGCCTGTGTCCCAGTGCTTAGCTGGGTCCCTCAGTGGAGCGTGGACTTTGGGGAGTGCCCAGGCCCCGGCTTGACGGCTGCTGCTGTTGCCCGCAGAGAGCGTACTGTGGCCAATGCAGCGAAAGGATATGGGGTCTCGCGAAGCATGGTTACAAGTGCATCAACTGCAAACTGCTGGTCCATAAACGCTGCCACGTCCTCGTCCCGCTGACCTGCAACAGGCATATGGTGAGTGTGGGCCAGGTAGGGGAGCTGTCTGGGGACCCCTGGTCCTGTCCCAGTGGGGTCCTGACACGGACAGTGTCCCTGCCACTGACTGGACGAGAGGAGGAGCCCCGTGGGCTGCAGAGTGATGGCCCAAGCCAGCGGCCTGGGACAGGACCCCTGTTCCCCAGCGCTGAGAGCCCTAGTGCTCTTGGAGGGCTCCATGCCCTCTGCTGCTTGAAGCCGAGCGGGAGGTTAAGCCGTGACTCGTCCTACCCAGTCGTGAGGCCGTTTGGAAGGTCGAAGGGCCCAGCCATGTGCTGCCCTCACCACCAGCCTGGGCCTTGGACGTGAAGCGTCCAGCCACTCAGGGCATTGTTGGTTCACCTACGTCCTGTGGCAGCATGAGCGGGACCGATGCCTCTGGGGGCCAGCGTGCCGTTCTTCTGGTACTGCTGGAGCGCAGGCACATGGGGTCCCCACGCAGGCTGGCGAGTGAATTGGCGCAGCCTTCCTAGGGGTCCCTTCAGCCGTGGCTGCCAAAGATCAGAAAAGCACACAGACCCTCGGGCGCCCTGGGTCCGCGCAGCCTGAGAAATGAGGCCAGCCCAGAACTCTGTCACTAGGGTTGAGGGACGCCCACGCTGGAACCTAGATGGTCCACCAATAGGGAGCTGCCTCCATTATGAGTCAGCGCATGGAAACCCCGCAATCCAGGAGATGGGGTTCCATGCCGGGCTGCTGACCTGTGCAGATGCGGGGGGGAGGCGCAGCGGATATGACCAAGCATGATGTAAAAACAGCCATTTTATAAAGCAGCTGATAGAAAGGTCACCGCTGGCGGCAGCGCTGAGCGGCCCCTCTGCCTGTGGAATGTAACAGTTGTGTATGTATGAGATTCGTGTTACAATGTATATGTAAGAGGTGTCTCCAAAAGCTACACTGTGACACCTGCTCGGTCACTTTGTAATGCCCAGTCTCCCTGCAGGATTCTGTCATGCCTGCCCAAGAGCCTGCAGTAGATGACAAGGACGATGACGTGGACCTGCCTCCTGAGGACACTGATGGAAGTAGGGGCTGCTTCCTTCCCGCTGGTGAAGCCCTGGCTCTCCTCGCCCTGGGGCGCCTGCCTGCTCGCTCCCCTTCCAGACCCAGAATCCTTCCTACACCCCATATTCTCTCCAAGGGTCAAAGCCGCTTCCCAGAGGGGCCGGGGACGCACATGCCAGGGCCTCACCGAGCAGAGATGGGTGGGGCGGGGGGCCTTCCTTGGGGCCCACATCTCCATGAGTTCCTGCCAGGGAGTCCGGGAGTGGGATCTTCCCTCTGCACCAACTTCAGGAGGTCTAGGGCAGGGGTCGGCAAACTGCGGCTCGCGAGCCACATGCGGCTCTTGGGGTTTGTTCTGTCGCAAAAGTTTGCTGACCCCAGGAAGAGCCAATCCTGTCCCTCACAACAATTTAAAAATTATTCGAGAGCCATAAATATATTTTTACAAATAATGAAAATTTAAAGTAATATTATAAATGAGACTATGATAGTTTTATTTTCATTTTCAATTTTACTTCAGAGCCACATGTATGTACCCAAAGAGCCGCGTGTGGCTCGCGAGCCACAGTTTGCCGACCCCTGCTCTAGAGGCCCTGGTGTAGCAGCCACACCTGCTGTGCCAGCCCTGCCCACAAAGCGGCCGCTGCAGAGCTGATCTCCAGAAAGAAAGGCCTGCTGGGTGGCCACTGTGCAAAGGGCCAGCTGCTGTGTGGTCCTAGACTTCATTTTTTGTGGGGAGAGACTTTTAATGCTAAGAAGCATTTGGAGAGAGATTTTTTTTTTAAGATTTTTATTGGGAAATTGGGGGAAGGGGAACAGACAAGTTGCTGTCGTTTTGTTCTTCAGTCTAGTTGTGGAGGACGTTGCTTCACTGGCCCAAGTTGGCACCATTGTTGCGCTCTTCTCGGAAGAGGCAGCTCGGTTACTGGCCACTGGATGGCCACTCACGGCGGCTGCTGGCCACTTACGCTGGCTGCTGGCTACACGCGGTAGCCCATGGCAACCCACTACAGCAGGGGCTGCAGCCTATGCCATCGCCGGCAACTCACGGCAGCCCAGCTCCAGGTTGAGCTGTTGTTCAGCATCTTAGCTGTGGAGGGCAGTGTCACTGGCCCTCATATGTGGGATCCAAACCAGGGCCCTCTGGCATCTCAAGCCAGCTCTTAGCCAACGCGCCACTCGACCAGCCCTGGAGAGAGATTTTGAATACTATTTTTACTGATGGCCCAGCTTTAAGCTTCCAAAGTTTGTGGATGGTTACAGGGGTGTGTGAGAGCCCCAGTCCTTGCTTGATAAGTGTGGGTTCCATCCATGGGAGCTCTTGAAGGGTGAAATGAGACCACAGCACATAAAGCACTTGGCACCGCACACAAAGAAGCCTCCTAATAAACAATTACCCCCCGACACACACATACCCATCCACTCACCACCCATCTTCCATCCATCCATCCATCCATCCATCCATCATCCACTTACTTGAAGAACAAAGGCTGGAATACTAGATGCCAAAATCTTATATGACTGCTTCCTTATAGAAGAATCATTGGGGAAACTTGTCACAAACACAGGTTTCCAAGACCCGCCCCTAAGTGATCAGAGTCAGCGGATGGGGTGGGCCCAGGGAGCTACATCTCTGAAGACCTGTTAAGTCCATGTGGCTGTCCCTGCCATGTGGCTGTCCCCTGTCAAGTGGCTGTCCCTGCCATGTGGCTGTCCCCTGCGCTTGCCCTGAGCACTGTGGCCCAGTCAGGCCAGGCCGCTTCTCGTCCGCCGAGGGGCGACTGGCCCCGGTCCTGGGCTGGATCCTGACAGCACCTGCACCATCCCTTTCTCTTTCTGTCTCCACTAGTTGCTTATATCTCTTCCACCCGGAAACGTGACAGCATCAAAGATGATTCTGAGGTGAGTGTACAGAGCAGCTCATTGGACCGTCCGGTGTCCATTTTACATCCTCAGCTCATTCCTGGGGCAAGTGAGGCATTTCAGCACTAGACACATCGGGCTTGTTGCCCATCTTGCGTGAGGGCAGGGGCTTGTGGGCGTCCGAAGTGCACCCGGAAGCATTTGGGGTGGGAGTCCGTGGAGCCTTTCATTTGGATCGAGGTGGTCCTGGAATGGCCGAATGGACAGAGAGCAAGTTAACACGGGAAGACTTGAGTGAGCCGTGGCTGTCTCTCGGGTGAGGGCTGCTGTCACCCTGCTGCTTACCGAACGATTCCTACAGCGATGCAGAGGTGACACCACTGGGTCGGTGTGTTGAGCCTGGGTCAGGAGACCTCTCTGACCTCAGCATTCTCCTCTGTCAAGTTTGGGTGACGATTGCATGTTTTCATGAGGCGAACACCTGGCACTGTGCCTGGCACACAGGATGTGTCCCCAACACTGATGCTGGTGTGGCCGTTCCCACATCAGCCCGGGGAGGCTCTGGGCATCACAGCGGGTGACTGCCACATGGTGCTTTTACAAAGGCGGGAAAGCTGGCCCCTGGGGGTGGGCCCACTAGCCTCTTCATTGTCTGCTGGGCACGCTTGCAGGGCTGGCATTGTCTCTGGGCCCAGGGTCAGAAGGAGACCGATAGTTGCCATCACTAATTTGGTTCTCCTGTCACTCCCAGCATTCAAATTCTTAGGTTTTCTATGACCGTCTTTTGCAGCCTGTGCCAGGCCTTTCCATCGCTGGGAAGTAGTGCCTCATGAAGCATCGAGGTGCGGGCACTGTGGGCACCTCTCGTGGGGCACGGGCCTTCTGGCTTTGGGGACAGGGTATACAGTGTGGGGAGGTGGGTCTGTTGGGGCATGAGGAGAGGCCCAGGGCCTGGCTCCAGCACCATGGGCTGCTGCTGTCACAGCTGGGTCTTGCTTGGGCACATTCTTTGTTATCCCCCAGAGGCTGCTGTCCCCAAGGCTCTTTGGGGTCCAGGTCTTCTGCTCTGGGTGCAGTCTCCCCAGCGTACTGCCCAGATGGCAGAGCGGGTCCAGGGCTGCTTTTTGAGCTGCAATTTTTGTCAAAGTATTTATCTTTTCTTTGTGGTGTGTTTCCCACACCACCGAGCACTTCTGTTGCCGGAGAGTGGGCCCTTCTCTGCGCAAAGTCCAGGTCCTTGGCAACTCAAGCAAAGAATTGAACGAGATGCCGGAATAAAGTACTGAAAAAGTAGTTTATTCAAAGAGATAGTACATTTCAGAGTCCAGAGTGCTAACCATTACACTATGGAACCGAGATAGTACATTTCAGAGTTTGGAGCGGGCCACGTGCAGAGGCGAGGCTCAAAAGGCTCAAAAAAAGTGAGGGAGGGGTTCAAAAGGGAAGAAGTGGTCAAAAATAGCAGGCGGACTTCCCAGGACTTGGAGTTTTTATCCCCTTTCTCTAGAATGGGCTGTTCCCCTTTGGCGTGGGACCACTTGATTGGCACCTGTGATTGACAAGAGGCACTGTGCAGGTGTGAGTGAGTGGTCAGATCTAGTTGGGTATTTTGTGCCCATTTGTTTTCCCACAGGGGTAGGTAATTACAACACAAAGGAGAGTTTTGGGTGGAGAGGGGATGTCCCCTTGGCGGTCACTCTGTGGGACGTGCAGGAATGCAGAGACCCAATGCCTGCCTCTTAACTGCCTGCCTTATTTTCTCCTTGAGAGACGTGATCCCCATGAAATCTCTATGGGAATTTGAGGGACAGGAGGTCATTTCTTCTATATCTGCTTCCTGCTGGGCAGGGGCGTAGAGCTGTCCCTGCCTATTGGGGAATTCACGGAACTCTCACCCTACCTGATCTCAGATGAGAGGAAGGGGTCTTGAGCTCTGCCTGGAAGACCGCATTGGCTTCTTTGGTTGTGACTGGCAGTCTTGTTGGGGTATCCTCTGTATCCCCAAGGCCCCTGAATGAGGAAAAATAGATTTTAATTAATAAACCTGTTAGTTCTCATAAAGTCTGTGGCCATTCAGCCCGTCACTCAGGTGGCGTCAATTGTCTGGGCCTAGAATGGGTTTGGCATTCAGCTTACTGGCCTGGGGGAATATTAGAAAGTCACAGGCTTTCCAATAGTTATCTGAAGCAGAGGTAGGCGACTTCTATGGGCAATCTACTGTTTAGGACTAAGAAATTGATTACAAACAACAAGCAGGGGGATAGGAGACTTCTAGGATTCAGGCTAAGAGCAGTCTTTAGCCTAGGATTCACAGACTGATGAGAATAGTAATCAAAGCCAGGAGCTAAGAAACTAGGGAGGAGACTTAACATTTCTATAGGAAAGAACACTTAAAAGGTTTCTCAGTGGTGGGGGGGCTGCTCGGTTGGCCGGTAACAGCTCTTTTTACTTCTCAGTGGATGCTGCCGGGCTGCCCTGCAGTTTAACCCAGTTCTGGCACTGTCTGCCTGGAGATGGCCCCAGACCCACAGGTGGAAGGCTCAGCCCCACAAGACTGCCCCACTTCACCTGCCAATTGAAAGTCAGGTTGTTGCCGCTGGAGCTTTTGACCTACCGGCCGGCTGTAAATTAGAGGTTCCAGCGACCCCCTCTTTGGGTTCGATGAATTTGTTGGAGCTGCTCACAGAACTCAGAGAAACATGTCACTTGCCAGATCAGGTTTTTTGTAAAAGGATGTAACTCAGGAACAGCCGGATGGAAGAGACGCACAGGGCACGGTGTGGGGAAGGGGCCACTCTCCCCAGATCTCTACTTGTTCCTCAGCCCAGAAACTCTCTGGACCCTGTCCTTTGGGTTTTTATGAGGCTCCATTACCTCTCTGCTCCCTGGAGGTGGGGGTGGGATTGAGAATTCCAACCCTCCAATCACACAGTTGGTTTCCCTGGCAACCAGCCCCATCCTTAGGTGACTTAGGGGCTTTCCAAAAGTAACCTCATTAGCATAACAAAAGACACTTCTGGCACTTAGGAAATTCCTAGGGTTTTCGTAGCTCTGTTCCTGCACCGGGAAGAAGACGAAATACACAGTTCTTTTTATAAATCACAGTGTCACAGTGTGTCCTTCTGGCCAGGCAAACCTCTGCCTTTTGTGTTCTTCCCCAGCTTCGGACCCAGAGGTTCAGTTGGGCGTCTGTCTGCGGCTGCTCTGGGTGACAAATGAGGCACAAACAAATGGTACTCCTGAGGCAGGAAAATAGTCACACAGCTGGTGTTCGCCACCTGTCCACAAACCGCAGGCCACAGCTTTCCCAAAGCAACCCACAAAGGTCACCTGACCTCTGGACGTCTAGATTTTTCCACCTGGTGGTTCTGTGTCTGGACTGTCAGGAGCACTCAGTTGCTCCTTCGTCCCCCACAGACACCTTGCCAGAAATCTCTCGTGGGAGGGACGCTTCTATTTATCTTTTTCTTTTGTTTTTAAGGATTTTATTGGGGAATTGGGGAAGGGAACAGCCAAGTTGTCGTCCTTCAATCTTAGTTGTGGAGGGTGCAGCTCAGCGCCAAGTCCAGCCGCCGTTTTCAATCTAGTTGCAGAGGGATGGGGGTGGGGTGGCATAGCCCACCATCCTATGTGGGAGTCAAACCGGCAACCTTGTTGTTAGGAGCACATGCTCTCACCAGCTGAGCCATCCTGCCACCTGTTGGCAGTTCAGCAGCAGCTCAGCTTGGGCGCAGCTCACTGGCCCATGTGGGAATCGAACCTGCGACCCTGTTGCTCAGAGCTCCCGCTCTTTACCAACTAAGCCACTCGGCCGGCCCAGGGAAGCTTCTGTTTTTCACTGGGTTCCCTTTCTCGCATTGTGTGTTCCCAGCAGCACTTGCTCGGCCATGGCAGGTCTTTGCAGACAGTAGCTGGCTGTGGCCCTGAGAGGGCCAGCAGCTCCTCTGTCCCAGCCCTGATGACCCTGGCGCGTGTGAGCCTGTGGTCACATCTTTAGCCCGTCCTGGGGAGGCTGGCCCCAAGCATCCTGCATCCCAGAGGAGCCACCTGTAGCTGTCCCATCAGAAGCTGCACTGTCCTTGTGTCTGGCCTCACTTCCTGAGCGGGGTTGGGGGTCACGACCCATGAGCAGGATCGGGCTCAGGTCTGGGGCGCAGGGGTCTCCGTGCAGGCTGGCCGCAGCGCTGGGCCCTCGTCTGAGCTGTGCATGGCCCCTTCCCACTCTGTGTGCTGCTCCCCTCAGGACCTCAAGCCGGTCATCGACGGGATGGACGGGATCAAGATCTCTCAGGGCTTGGGGCTGCAGGACTTCGACCTGATCCGGGTCATCGGGCGCGGCAGCTACGCCAAGGTCCTGCTGGTGCGGCTCAAAAAGAACGACCAGGTGTATGCCATGAAGGTGGTGAAGAAGGAGCTGGTCCACGACGACGAGGTGAGCCCCGCCCCGGCTTCAGCCGCTCCCGCTGCACGGCGGCCGCGCACGCGCACGCACGTGGCCGTTTTAACTCGGTGGATACAGCTGGGGCGCACAGCGCGTTTACCGTGTGGTGCCGCCGTCCCCTGTGTCCAGTGCCAGGCCCTTTCCACCCGCACCCTCCGCAGCCACCGCCCACCGTCACCCCGGCCCCCTCTGTCTCCGGGCGCCTGTTCTGGACATTTCCCGGACACGGAGCCCCACTGTGTGGCCTGGTGTGCCTGCACTCACTGGGCACCATGTGTCCAGGGTCCGGCCCCGGGTGTCAGCATCCCACCTCTTCACGGCCGAGTGATACCCCAGCGTGCGGCTGGGCCACGTCCAGTTCATCTCGTCACCCGCGACGCGGATGGACAGCTGCGCCGTTGCCACCTTTGGGCTGCTGTGAACATACTAGCACGCGTGTCTGTGTGGGCCCCTGCTCTCCGCTCTTTGGGGTCTTTTCCTAGGAGCGGAATGGCGGGGTTCTAGGGTAACTCTGTGCCTAGCTGCCTGGGACGCGCCAGGCTGCTCCCCACGCGGCCGCACGCATCACACCCCCACGGCCGTACCGAAGCCCCGCCCCCTCGCACCCTTTCCGGTCCCCACTGCTGTCTGGTTTTACGTCAGCGCCATCGCGGTGGTTTGCGTCTGCGTTCCCATAGTGACTGGTGACGCTGTGCGTGTTTCCACACGCTCCTGCCTTCATGTGCGTTTGACCTGGCCCTTCCTGGGTGCTGGTCGTTTCTCTCAGAAGCAGAGGAAGGGCTGACGCACAGCTGGCAGGGGCTCTTGTTAGGCTGCTGGCACCTACAGGGCTGGGCGTGTGCGGAGCCCGCACACCACCCATGGGCCCCGACCCTCCCTTGGCCTGGCTCAGGGCTTGGAGGGCAGAGCTGGGGCTGACCCTGAACTCTGGCATTTGTGCAGTGCACACACTGCCCAACTGGCCCGAGTGCTGAGCTCACAAGGGACGGTGGTGTCAGCGCCTCCAGCTGAGGAAACTGAGGCTTGGGAGGGGGGTGCGGTGCTCTGCTGACGGCCTCACTACTGCTCAGCGGCACCGCGGATGATTCCAGCCCCCTTCCCAACCCAGCGGGCAGCTGGGAGGTTAATGGAATATGTGGAGTCAAGTGTGTGTACAGCCCCAGGGGGAAGAGGCACTTGGGAGAGCCACCACTTCGGGCGCTTCTCGGCATCTTCCTGTCCGTCCACTGTGGGCCAAGGGACGGAGGTGGGCTCCGATGTCGCCTCTCGAGTAGAGCGGGACTAGGAGTTGGTGAGCAGGAGCTGAGTGTGTGCACGTGTGTGAGAGAGACACTGGTGTCCCTTGGCCATGAGTCTGGGCCATGGACCTCTATGCGGTGGGCTGGATGGTGGCCCCCCAAAAGAGATGTCCACATCCTAATCCCCAGAACTTGTTTGGAAGTAGGTCTTTGCAGATGTAGCTAAGAAGCTTGGGGAGACATCCTGCGGTATGTGGGTGGGCCCCTTGAGAGAAAGGTGGGAAAGGTGTGAGACAGACACACAGAGACGGTGACATGGAGATGGAGGCAGAGGGACAAGCTGGGACTCCTGGAGACACAGAGGCTGGAAAGGCAGGCAGGATCCTCCCTAGGGCCCTGCCATACCCCGATTTCAGACTGGCGGCCTCAGGACTGTGAGAGAATAAGTTTTTGATGTTTTAAGCCTGCTAGTCTCTGGCATTTTGTTAAAACAGCCTCGGGAGTCTAGCAAGCAGGAAGGAGGGCCCCTGCGGCCGAGTGAGAGACCCCGGTGGCCTCATCTCTGCCTGGGGAGGTGGGGAGCCTCGGCGACCCACCAGGGTGTCCTGCCTGAGCAGCTGGGTAACTGGGTGCCTTTGGAGAGCAGATGGTGCCTGGTCACGAGTGCTGCTGAGAGCCTGCTGCGCAGGGGGAGGTGCCCCGTGGAATTGCCCGGCAGCCACTGTGCGAGCAAGTCTGGAGCTCGGGGATGGGAGGGCCTGGGAGTCCTCCGAATGGACAGATGGCCTTGAGACCTTCCACCCAAGGGGCCTCCTGGCAGACAGAGGGAAGGGAAGAGGGGGCTCAGGACCCAGCCCAAGGAGGAGGGACCCAGCCAAAGGGGTGCTCAGTGGGAGTTTGTGATTTGTTTCCAGACCTTCCGGGGAGGCAGCCAGGTCCTTCCCTGTCACTTCCCCAGACCCTAGGAAATGTAGGAACCTTCTCCAGCCCTGCTTTGTGGATTTGGGACGGAACCAAAACTGTGGACTCATCGTGACTCCGAAGTTGACTTGACTTGGCAGCTTTTCCCCAAGTTCTAGCCTGGGTGGGAGGGAGATCGCCCTGTGGGCGCAGTGGTGCTGGGAGACGAATGTGGGACTCCGCTGAACCCTCCCCTCTCTGCTACCTCATGTTTTAGTGGGGTGATAATACCCACCTCCCAAGGCTGCCATGGGGAGCCCGTAGCCCAGAGGCTGGTGATGGCGGCTTTGGTGATGGTGGTGGAGATGGTGGTAGATGATGGTGGTGGTGGTGGTGGTTGTGGTGGTGATGGAGGTGATGATGGTGACAGTGACAGTGATGGGGTGATGTATTTCTAAATGGGCATTTCTTTTTCTCCCTGCACGGTCCTCCCATGAGCAGAGGTGGGAGTCTTCCTCCCCTTGTCCGGGATGCCTGGGAGATTCGGGAGCCTCCTTTACACTCCCTGGTCTGTATTTCAGGATATCGACTGGGTACAGACAGAGAAGCATGTGTTCGAGCAGGCGTCCAGCAACCCTTTCCTGGTTGGCTTACACTCCTGCTTCCAGACGACTAGTAGGTAAGAAAAACAGGTTGTCTCTGGGATCCTGCCGATTTCTGATGGGAACCACATGGGGGCTGAGTAGCCATGAGCTGTGGGGTTTTCCCAGTCGTATGTGTAGGTTTCTGTGACTCCTCCAACTAGCTTTGTTGTTCTCATTGGCTGGTGTCATTAATTTCATGCACCTTAGCATAAATTATTTAATTCCCTTTACAAAGTATTTATTGAAAGCATCCCGCAGAGTCGTGCGTGCGCTGGGTCTGGTGCTGGGATGCCCTGAACAGGACATGGGCTTCTGAGATGCGGCTCTCACACTGGCCAGTGAAGTGCTGATGCTTGCAGCTCCCCCACAAGCTTCCTACCTACTGAATTCCACAGCTGCTGCTCTAGGCTACTTAATATACTGTTTAAAATTCATTTGGCCAATTGACTTGAGCTCACCCAACTTGCTTATTTGAGAAGTTACTGACTATGATGGGGGGGCGGGGTCCTCAGGGGCACCCTAGTCTCTGACTTACCGGGAGAGCTCAGGGCTCAGCTGTGAAGGAAACAGCAGAGGCAGCAGTGGGGCCGGCGCAGGCAGGAGGGACCCACATGAGCCCAGGAGCCCCCCATGGAGTCACATGGGACATACTTGATTCCTCGGAGGTTGTCACTGGGGGCTGGTCACAGGCATCTTCTTCCTGGCAGGTCCCCAAATTCCAGACCCCCAGCAGGAAGCAGGTGTTCAGCATAAACCACTGTGTGTGTGTGAACCTCTCGGGTCACTGCGGAAAAGTTTGATCTCGGAGCTGGGACTGTTTGCGGTCAGGGACCCGACCCCAGCAGAGGCCTCACCTTCCAAGTAGGCCTTTCTCAGGCCACTGTGTTCACTCTTTCCTGCCCAGTCAGGCCAGCGGCTCACATGCCTCTTCATCCCCTGACCGTCAGTCCCGTTCCCACCTGTCCTGGCTGGTCACCTGTGCGCCTGGAGCACCTAGAATGAGCCTGCCTTTCCCCCCAAATCTGTGGTTGTCCCTCCGTGGGCCTCACTGATTCCACCTCCTGAATTGATCTCAGATCCCCCTTTGTCTCCCGCCTGAACCCCGGCCACAGCCTTCTCGGGGCACCTGGTCTCTGGGCCCCAGGCTGTCAGTTCCCCCACATTGAAACTAAGTCACATTTTGAAAACACGGGTCTGAAGGGTCATTCTCCTGCTTCTGAGCTGCTCTGATAGTGTCCCAGTTGCTTCTGGGATGGGCTCCCTTGTGTGGACAAGGTTGCTGTGATCGGGCTCCACCCTGGTGCCTCTGCTCCGTCCGACTGCCACGCTACGTGACGGAAGGGTCCCATCCTCTGCTCACCTCCCCTCCCCTCCCCTCCTTCCTGGGAGCTCACTGGCACGGTGGCTGTTGGGCCCTCTGCTCCGGCGTTCGTTCTCCGAGCCTCTGTTCAGCGCCTACTGCAGTCTCCTGGGTTACGGGCAGGCAGGGGAGGGCAGCCTGCCCCGCCTCCTGCTTCATAAATGGAGTCCAGAGTTTGGTTTGGTTTTTGGTGAAATTTCCTGCATGAACTTGTAGGGATGGGGATGTAAAAGGGTCAAGTATTTCGACCTCGCGTCTCTGTCCACTGCCCGGAACGCAGGCCCGGAGTCTCTGAGTCACACGTTCCCAGGTGTGTGAAGTTAGAACTTTAAAGAATTTCATTCATTAGTTGTTTCCATGTGATCTCCGTGACATAAGCGCTTCCTGTGCTGCTCTTCCAAGCTGACGCCTAGGAGACTTGTTTACAACTACATTCGACTCTCACAGGCAGGAGTAACTAACGAGTCCGTCTAGCCCCTGCCTGTCGCTTTTACAGCATCTGTCTGTGACTTGCAGATGTGCCTGCCGCTGGTGAGTCAGGGTAGAGCCTTTCCTGCATCTCTGTGGCGGCCTGTCCGCGTCTCTGAGCTCCGCAGGGCTGCGCTCCGGGCATCGCTTAAAAATACCTGACACCTCGTCGGCAGTTGTGGTGTTAAAGGGTAATTCCCTTAAGGTGCAGTTATGTCCTCGGTACAAACATAAAGTGAACACGTGTCAGATTTTAGTGACTCACTGGCGAACGAGGGACAAGTCTGCGGGTGTGTGGGTTGTGATAGGTACAGGTGGGCTTGCGCCGGCTGGAAGGTGGAGCGTGGGGAGCGGTGTCCTCCAGGCTGGCCTCGTCTGTCTGCGTGTCGCCAGTGCGGCTGACGTTTCCGAGTCGGGAAGGGGCTGAGATAGTGAAAGGCCTGTGGAAACGTACCAGGAAGGGCGCGTCCCCCGCTGACACCAGTCCTCCCATCGGTCTGCCTCCCAGCCACTCGCAGCTTTTCCGGATGGCCATGCAGAGGCTCTGGAGCCAGAGCTGGACTTCGAATTCCAACCTATCGTTTTACCACCTGTGCACCCTTCACAGGGCCCCCTCCTGTGCTGCAGCGTCCTCTGGGCACAGAGATGGCAGGGGCCCTGTGGGGACGAGTTAAGACATTGACATGTTGACAGCAAGGCCCGGCTTGGGGTAAACTGCCAGCAAGCACGCCCTGCTGCTCTGGGGCCTTGCTGGTGGGCACCACGTCTTCAAATAAACGCACCGCGAGCGTCGTCTGAGCCCCATGGCAGGAGCGCCAGCAGCTCTCTCAGGTGGACCCAGGTTGTGGGATACAAGGAGGTGCCCGCTGGGGCAGCTGCTGGAGGCTGGGGGCCCCGGGCTCAGCCCGGAGGGGCTGAGCGGTGCCTGCCGCATGCCTGGGTGCTGAGGGTCATTGCCGGGTTTGTGGGGCTTTATCTTTGCTCATTGGAGCTTTGCTGATCACGTCGCAGAGGGTTTGCCATGGCCGTTGCTGGGGCCCAGAGGACTGTCACCATAGTTGGAGCCGACAACACAACAGGAAACCGATTAAACCCGGAGCTGGGCCGGGTGCCCTCCGGGGCCTCCAGTAGAAATCTGGTCAGCAAACCGGCAAAGGTTCCCTGTGAGCTTGGCTGGTAGGAGGGGCCTCTGAATGGGGAGAAATAAGGATTTCTCTATGTTCTCCCCAAATCCAGTAGTGCCCTTCCGGGCAGCCGTGTTCCGTGCCGCCGGGGGTGACGTGCGTTCCCGAGTGTTCCTGTCAGCCTCCTCATCACCACACGTCTACAGACCGTTAATACAAAACAAGCACCAGTGTTACGGAAAAGCCACACCTCAGATCTACACAGACAGCCTGTCATTCCCAAAAACGCCAAATGAAAACAAACTACAAAACCGCCGGACGGGGAACGGCGTTAGTTTCAGTTGCTGCAGGAAAAATGGGTCATCAGAGATGGTGGCTGAAATTACAGTTTTTAGCAACACACCCTGCCCCGCATTAGACTATGGTATGTCACCTTTTTCTCACTTTAGTACCATCTCAGGTCGTAGGTGACCGACCACCACCGGCGTGTTTACGGGTCCCTTGTCATAAAGCTTTTGCTGTCTCGCCTCCACTTGTTACTGCACGCCCACTTCGCACGTGGCATGTGCTCGGACCCTTTACAGAGGAAGCGCCTGTTACAGCCTTATCTGTGGGAGCTTCGTGTGCTGTGCACCCACTTGGACCCTTACGTAGCTGCTTCTGGCTGCAAAGTGGCTTCTGGAAAGTGAGCTGAGCACTGTTGTCTACGTGTCTCTCCACCCATCACAGCTCTGGACTCAGTAACGGGCCCTTGGCATGAGGGACTGCAGCGTGTCTGTGTGCCTGCCTTGGGACACCGTGAAGGTGGCTGAGGTCAGCAAGGCCAGGTGAGGGCAGACTGGGCTGGGGAGGGCGCTGGGTCACCTGGCGGCAGCAGGTGGGCGTGCCAGCTGAGCGGGGCCGGCCCAGTGGCACCCTCGGCAAACTCCTCAGCGTGGGGCCTCCGGTAACAGAGGGAGGCGCTAACGGGTCACGTCAGGACTGTGTGCAAGGATGGCGCGAAAGGGCCGTGAACCCCCAGGACTCGTCGTGACCCTGAGAGCCCAGTGCGTCCTCTCTGGGACTGTGACTCAGCGCACCTCGCAGTAAGCATGTTACAGTCATCATTTAAGCCCAAAATAGAGCAGATGTGGAGTGACATGTGGCAGAGTGGGGCGGCAGTCGAGTCATCTCAGCCTTTGTTCTCCTGACAAATGGTGACAGCTCACAAGCCCTGATTTTACTCGCTTTTCACGTGGATCACCTAAAATGGCTGAAACACCACCCAGCCCCTGGGGACCGGAGCAGGACCACTCAGGCTGGCGGGCTGCCCAGCAGCAGGGGCATTGCAGGGAGACACGACTCTTCCATCAGGCACTGGGACAAGCTCCAGGGTTGGTTTCATTTCTGTCAGGTGTGGTAGGCAGACGCCTATGGAAACAATGGACGCTGTGTCATCCCAAAGCCCTGGACAGCTAGGGACACTCGGGGATGTGGCATCTGTCCCCAGAGCCTGGGGGCTGAGTCCTCCAGCCATTGTGGGTCACGCACGACACAAGTGAGCGTGATTCATTGTTTCTTTCTAAGCTGGAGGCGACTGGACGCTCTGGGACCAGGACCAGTCAGGGGATGTTACTCGGAACGAAAGTGCTGGAGTGAGGTGACCTCGCCGCCTGACACATCCTCCCCCGAACTTGTGTGACTGCATAGACTCGGACGGGTCTTGCTTGTCCAGCCCGGATGCTCTGTCCAGCTGCGTCCCTCCCAGGACGGGGCCTTGTCCGGCCGGGTGGAGCCCAGATGAACTCCTGCAGCTCCTTGCAAGTGTCAAAGGAACTGTGTCAGGACCAGACCTGAAATTGTGCTTTTGCCAACTATTAAATGATATCAGAAACCACAAAACAAGAGCTTCTTTTTTGAAACTTTACACAATTTTAAAATGCAGAAAAGTACAAAGAAGGCAGTCATGGCGGCACACACCCCTGGTCCTGCCAGGGTCACGCTTGTGCTTCTTGGGGACCTTTTTGCTGTGTATTTTCCCACACGGACTTTAGAATCACTCTGTCCCACTCCAGAAGGAAAAGAAACTGGTGTTTTTATTGGGCTGTGTTGTTTGCATGTTACCCGAGGGAACGCCAACGTCCCCGGAGCCACCCGCCCAGGCTTGCAGCCACCTCCCACTCGCTCACATCCTCTTTAGGGAGATTTCACAGGTTTTTTCATGCAGTATTTTCACTTCCTTGCTTAATTTTTGTCCTGAGTGTTTGTCTTTTGTTTCTATTATTAATGAGGTTTTTTTCTTCCATTGTAGCATCTGGCAGGTGACGTGTACACGCTAACCGTGCCTGCTGCCTCAGGACCTCTCTTTCTGCAGTAGTTTTCAGGTGGCTTTCTTGGGCTTGGGGTGCGCAGGGACAGCACCTATAAACAGGATTAATGTCACCTTGTGCCGTCCGGTGGACGCCTCTGTCCATTTCTTTCTCTAATGACAGAGCCAGTACCTGCCTCGGGTGGGGGCACTGGCGATAGGGAGCAGCCTCTTCCCCGTGGAGTCCTCTGGTCTCTGCACAGTGAGCTCAGTGCCGGCCACCGTGGGCCGTCGGGCGCCTGGGAAGCAGAAGCGACCACTGTACCTGTTTAGACGGACGGACGGATGGTGCTGCATTGGCTGCCTCGGGCTGCAGGGGCGTTGGGAGAGGACGGGGAGGGAGTGACGTCCACCTGCAGCCATCACACTGGCTCCCGGATCTAGGGACACTGTGCCCCGTCTGCCAGGGCTGGAGGCCAAGGACGTGCTGCTCCCGCCTGAGCTGTTGCAAACAGGAACTGTCCCCCCCTTATTCCGGGTCCCCCACATGGTCTTCCCCAGGGCCGTCCGCTGGCAGAGGGTCCTGGAAATGCAGTTCGCAGAAGCAGCCTGTTATCACGGTCTGTTTCCTAGGGTCGCGCATCCCCGGGGGAAATGGCTGGTCTGAGTGTATTATTCTGTTGATGTGCTTTTGAATTCAATTTGCGGATATTTTATTTCGTCTTTTTTTTGTTGACATGGATGTTTGACTGACCTATACTTTTCCTTTCTTGTGCAATCTTAATGGGATTTTTGCATTTTCCTTATTTATTCTCTGGAACATTCTAAGTCACACCGGAATGGTCTCGGCAGAGACGGCTGGGCCTGGAGTGTTTCAGAGGGTGGCTACCCCTCCCCTGGCCTCCCAGTTGCTGTTAATGTTATTACTTTTACGTTCTAGGTGGTAACGCCCGCACCCTCCTCCTCCCACAGCTGCTTCGTTGTGTGGTCTCCTAATTTGCTCAACTCAGGAAGGCGTGGGGCTTGCACGCGTGCGTTCTTTCACGTTCGAGAACCCCAGCTTAGCCGGGTCCCACCTGCCCTCACTCACGGGTGTCCCGGCATTTGTCCTCTGGGGAAGCTGAGGCTGGTCCCCACCCCTGCCGCCCTACATGTCTCTGGGCAGCAAAACTCCTTCTCTGGCGCTGAGCTTTGTCGAGTCCGTCTGTGCCTTCTGGATCCTTCTGAGTGAGTTTGGGGTTTGACTGCGTCTGTCCCGCTGTTCATCCTGCTTCTGGTTTGCGTTTGCACTTGGGAACCAGGGCGCTTCTGTCTGCCGACTGTCACCTTAGGATGTCAGCCCCTTTCCTGGTCATTCCTTGTGCGTCTGGACACTTATCCCGACCCTCTTTCCCTCCGTCCCTGAGCGTCTCTCCTGGGCCGACTCCTTACCTCTGGCCTGCTGCTCCTCCGCCAGCTCCGTTGGGGGACGGCCACCCCTGTGAGGCGGGCACGTGACTGGACGTGGGGTTGCCCAGCGTGGGTTGTGGATTTACTAGGTTGTCTGATGTCAACCTAGTGAATCCAGACGTCGGCTCTTCCTACACTGTATGCGGCCCTGGGGAAGATAGTCAGCCTGCCAGTACCTCAGTTTCCCCATCTGTAAAATAGGGGAGATGCTGTTTGGCTAGTTTTTACGGTTTCTTGTGCATTTTATTAAGTGTTGAGAAAGCAGTAACCTGCTACCCTGACCCCACGGATTGCTTCCTCCCCCTCCTGGCGGGGCGTGTGTGCAGGCGGAGGGGGAGCTTGGCCTCGGAGTCCTGTGACCCAGGTGGCTGTGGGAAGGGATGAGTGCCTCTCCCCAGGCCAGGCGTGAACGGTGTGGGTCTTCACCCCCGGCTGCAAGAGGCCACCGGAGCCACAACGGAAGGTCCCAGGTGCAAGCTCACGTGTGGCAGGCGCCTGCCAGGCACCCACGAGCCACAGGTGAACTCCGGCTGCTCAGAGACTGACGTTTGGGCATTTTGTCACAGCAGCTCGTCTGAGTCACGTGCATCGTGGTCGTCAGAATGAGTCAGCTCCGCTCGGGTCTGGTGGAGCTTTGCTCAGAAGCAGTGTCAGTAGCATTAGGTCGTTTTCAGGATTATCCGAGAACACTCCGCTGTGATTGGAGCTTCATCAGTGTTGCAAGCTAAACTAATTCCTTGATTGGCAAGCGACGTGGGACCTAGGGCCACAGGTGGCCGCTGCAGTCCAGCTGGACCTGTCTGACGTCCACCTGTAAAGAAAGAGTTCCCCACTAGGTTCCCAGGACGGGCTTTGCTCTGGGTACACAAGGAAACTCGCTTTGCTTCCATTTATCCTGGTTTTCAGATGTCCCCTCAAATCTTTCAGCTTCCTAAGGCACCGTAGCCCTGTTTTTTCCAGAATCTGTGCATTTCTTTGTTTAGGTCTTAGGTCCCTCCTGCTGGTGGATGGTTAAACAAGAGTGTGTGCTTAGGTGAGTGAGTGCCTGACAGTCAGTGAGGCTGCACGAGCTGTTGTTTTGTCATCGTCACGGTTTATCCCAGGGGTTGGCAAACCTTTCCTGTCTTCAGGCTGGTGTGAAGGCGGCACCTGCAGGGACGGGCTGCCCGTGGCAGTCAATGCCACTAGACCCTTTCCAGGCATGTCCTCTGGAGGCAGGGACAGAATGAAGACAAGGCTGAGCGGCCCCCAGGCGACTCGGGGCTTTTCTTCCAGATGGCACCTCCAGACCCTCCAGGTCTTCACTCAGTAGTGAGGCTTTGGTTTTCATCTGCGTATTTGCATATTTAGTTGTTTCTGGTCTAAATATGTAATCAGACGCTCCTGTTCACTGCCTCTGTGTCCAGTGACCTCTGTTCCTCTGGGCCACTGCCAGGCGTGCCCTAGAAGCCGAGAGCCGCTGCAGCTCCTGAGAACCAGCGGTGGTTACTGTGGTGCCCACAGAGCCTGTGCAAACCAACGACTGAGCGTCGCTCGCCCTCCCTTCCCCTCCCCAACATGGTACTGCCTCCCAGGACGCCCCAGAGGAGCTGGTGACCTAAAAATCCGCCAGCTGCCCTCAACAGAGTATTTCTGGGAAATTATGTGGAATTTAATTTTGAAAATGGAATCTTATTAAATGCAAGAAAGATCTTCCCCAGAAAGAAACCTCGTGGTAAATTGTCTGGAGACCTGAAGGGCCCTGTGTGCGTCAGACGGCATCGGCGGGTCTCAGCGCTTTAAACCCAGGGTCACCGCAGCCCGGCCTGACCCTAGCTGCCCCTCGACTCCTCCCCAGACTCGATGTGGCCGGATCAGCCCTGCTGGAACCCCTCCTGGACCTGCAGCTCCACGGTGTTCCAGCACAGGGAACAGTCCAGTCCCAACGACCAGTGTCCCACCCGCAGTCCCACCAGCTCCTCCCTTGCGTCCAGCCCACCCGCAGTCTTGTCAGCTCTGCCTCGGCCCCTTCACTCCTCTGCCCACCCACTGTCTCCTCCCTGGGGTCCATTCAGACTCAGTGGCCAGAGCGGTCATTCACTGGACCTCATCATCCCCATCACCTGGCCCATCACCTGGCCACCTCCTCCCCTGGCGTTTCCTCCCATGTGCTGAGCTGGTCCCCTCAGCCTTCAGGGCGGTCCCCAGCTCTCTGCTCTCCCTCTGCCTCCCGCTGTCCAGGCCTCTGTGACCTGGGGAGGCCTCTCCTCCCCCACTGGGCCTCTGGTGACCCCCCACGCTCTCCTCCCGCCTTATATTTACTAGTTTTACCCTAAGGCGGGCCTGGCACTGCTAGGAGAGCTAATAGCTGTTGGATGAAATGAACGAGTGGATGAAAGTTGTGGTTTCTGAGTCTTGCTACATCCGGGTCAGAACTGGGTTGATGACAGGGTCGCTGGGCATCTCCAGGATGACGCCTCCAGACAGGCACAGAATTCTGCCTCGGCCACGGCCCCCCTTTCCAGCCTGGGCTGCATTCTCTGCTGACCCCGGGAGCAGGTCGCGTAACCCAGGTTGCCTCTTTCTTTGGCCAGTCTGGAGGAGAGTTGACACAGCAGCGAAAATAGACAGGTCACCGGCCACCAGCGACAGTAACTCCTGGGAAGGTTCTCAGTGATGCCTTCGTGGTGAGCACGTCTCAGGTGACATTGGCAGTCTGTGACCTCACCTTCGTCACCCTCTCTCCCTCAGGTTGTTCCTGGTCATAGAATATGTCAACGGCGGGGACCTCATGTTCCACATGCAGAGGCAGAGGAAGCTTCCAGAAGAGCACGCCAGGTGGGTGCTGGCCAAGTGGGCGTGGGCCCCGGGGGGAGGGACAGGTGTGGGGACCTTCCTTGGGAGGTCAGCAGGGAGCTGAGGGGAGGAGGGAAAGTCTAGGGAACATGTGTGGCCTGCTTCCTCCCACGTGTGACAAATTCCAGGACTGCTCAGGGGGCACGAACGTGGGAGGGCCCTCCGAGTCACTCAGCCAGTCAGATCCTGTTCCTCCCAGGGCTGGTGTTTCACGGGCTGGCGCGGCTGTGGGTTTGCCCCCTCCGTTCCCAAAATGGGGAGACACGTTCTGACCGTAAACTCGCCTGAGTGGACAGCATGGCCGCCCCGCTTCCTGTTGTGTTTGACTGGGCGCTGGGAGAAAAGCCATCCCGTTTCTGTGTGAACGACTCTAAGGGAACTCGCCTCTTCCTTCCCCTCCCCCGCTCTTTCCTGTTTGCCCTTTTCCCCGTTTCCTCACTTTAAAAAAATCCCATGCGGGTTTGAGTCACCTTAGGTCCTTTTTGGGGAAACACAGGTAATAAATTAAGGCAGTCGCCCTCCACACACTCACGTTTTCCTTTGTGGTTGTGTAAAATATACACGACATACAGCGTACCGCGTCAATCATTTTTCTGGGTACACAGCTCAGTGACATTAGCACTTCCACACTGTTGTGTGTGCATCCCCTCTACCATCTCCAGAGCTTTCCACCTTCCCAAACTAGAACACCGTCGCCATTAAACACCCCCCCACCACCATTCTGTCCCTGTCAATCTCACTCCTCCAGGGCCTCCTGTGAGTGAAGTCAGACAGTGTTTGTCCTCCTGTGACTGGCTTACCTCACTCAGCACGAGGCCCACCCACGTTGTGGCAGGCGGCAGGCTCCGTCCTCCTTACGGCTGAGTAACGTCCCACGTGTGGATGGGCCACAGTTTGCTCATCTGTCCGTCTGTCAGATGAACACGTGGGCTGCTTCCACCTTTTGGCTGCTGTGAACATTGTGCAGATATCTCTTAGAGACCTTGCTCTCGGTCGTCCTGTGGGGTAAACGCCCAGGCGTGGGATCGCTGGGTCACATGACCACTCTCCGGTTAATTCTTTGAGGAGCCTCCACGCCGTGTCCACAGCGGCTGCTCTATTTTACCTGGCACCGGTTCCCACGTCCCCACGTCCTCGCCAGCACTTATTATTTTCTGCTCATTTGGCAGTTGCCACCCCGATGGCTGTGAGGTGGCGTCCATCTGTTGTCTTGCTCTGCTGTGCCCTGCCGCCTGAGGTGTGGAGGACACGGGGACGGCTGATGCGAGGGCAGGGCCTCAGCAGCCCCTCCAGCTCGTGCTGTGTGCACAGCCTCTCGTCCGGGCTCCTTCCTTGTTGGGCCCTCTGCTGACGATGTGTGTCCTGCCCCCAGGTTCTACGCGGCTGAGATCTGCATTGCTCTCAACTTCCTGCACGACAGAGGGATCATCTACAGGGACCTGAAGCTAGACAACGTCCTCCTGGATGCCGACGGCCATATCAAGCTCACGGACTACGGCATGTGCAAGGCACGCGGCCCCCGGCCCCTGGCCCGCCGATGGCCCCCCCCCCGGTCTGGGGCCCAGATGCTGACCGACCGGCCACTTTGGCTCCAGAGTGACCAGGCCCGGGCACCTCCCTTAACTGTCCTGATTTGGTTTTTTCTGAGGCATGTGGTGGCATCTGGAGGTTGTCCTCCCTCCTGGTAACTGACTTTGTCCCCACAGGAAGGCCTGGGCCCCGGTGACACAACAAGCACTTTCTGTGGAACCCCAAATTACATCGCCCCAGAAATCCTACGGGGAGAGGAGTACGGTGAGTGTGGGGAGCTGCCCGAGGTTGGGGGCTGCACACAGGGGCAAGTATGGACGAGGGTGACCCCGACCCCTGGAAGCAGAGCCGGGGGGAGGGGGCCTGACCCTGCCTGGAGGCAGCAGCCAGGGAGGGACTTTGTGACCAGGTTACACCTGAAACACACACGCCTCACCTAGTTCCCAGCCCCATGTCCCCATCTGGCCTCCACCCTCACTTGAGCCCTTGCAGCCCCAGCTGCTGACCTGTGTGTCCACTCAAGGTGCCTGGTGGGGGACACAGGACAGGGTTCCTCTTATCAAGGAGCCCAGGGGTCTGGGCGTCCTGAGTCAGTGGGTGCGCCTGGCGGCTGGGGACAAACGAGACTGTCACCCGCAGGAGGATGCCGACCAGGCCCCGCGGCCCCCGCGGACACTGGTGTGCGCTCTGTCCCTCTTCTCGCTCTGGGAACAAAGATGCGACTACTGTGTGTGTGCGCGCGTGTGTTTGGTGAAGTCCATTGCAGACATGCCATCGAATGCTTCTGAGCGTCGTCTTAGGAAGTGGGGGAGGCAGGGTGGGCAGTACCAGTCCACTCATAACTGGGCACCAGGGAGGCCACGACGCTGGGCATCACTTAGTAGCCAGAGGAGGACAGCAGATGGCTGGGACCCGGCCCAGTGCGGGGGTCCCGTGTGTGCCGACCACCGTCCCTGAGGCTTCCGGGAGAGCTGGCCGCGACGGGCAGAGCTGCAGCCACACCCTCCCGCTCGCTTCCCCACGCCCTGAAATACGTCCCCGATAGATCAGCTGTACTTGAACATTAAACCCAAACAGTGAAATGTCGGAAAGTATTTTTTGCAATCTTAGAGGACCTTTTCAAGCTTAGGTAAATAAGAGGAGACGCAAGACAGGACAGCTGTCCGACAGATGGTCTCCACTTTACATGTCTGTGTGGTCAGAGGTGCCACATGCCGAGTTAAAAGGCCAGGTGACATTCTGGGGGCTGGCACAGTGCCAGGTGGAGGGTTCCTGGCCTTGGTGTGAAATGGCTCTGCCACTTTAAGACAAAGACCAGCGTCCCCAGGACAGCAGACAGAGGGGAGGCCAGGCCACCGGGGGAGGGTGGGGCACCCAGCCTCAGCACTGGTCAAAAAAATGCAAACTCGCAGCTACGTTTCTGCTGCCCCCACGACTGGACATGTCGTGACGACGTGGCGGCAGCTGGTCCTGCAGCCGCTGCGCGTGGCCGACCGGCATGACGGGCTGCCTCCTCCAGGGTTCAGTGTGGACTGGTGGGCGCTGGGCGTCCTGATGTTTGAGATGATGGCTGGGCGTTCCCCCTTCGACATCATCACCGACAACCCCGACATGAACACCGAGGACTACCTGTTCCAAGGTGACGGTGGGGTTGGGAGGGTCCCCAGGCTTGTCCCTGCATCTCAGACCAGGTCAGGCCAGGCCCCTTCCCACACACCCGCTCTCAGGGAGACAGACCCAGGCTGTGGGAGTCGAATGGCCATGGGGTGGGGACCCCGCTCTTTCCTGTCACGGGGGCCAGCGCTGCCCCTCCCAGTCCCTGTAGGGCTCCTGGCCTTTGAGAAGCAGGGAACACCTGGCCCTGAGCCCCCTTTGTTGCCCTGGGATCTGGGCCCAGCACCTGGTTTTCCCCGCGGCGCCCTCTGGCGGCCAATTGCAGAGCTGCCATGTACACAGGGACGCTCACTGCTGGTTCATGCGTGATGGGGCCTCCGGGCTGTGAGAAGGGGGTCCAGGGCCCCAAAGCAGCTCCGAGGCTCCTGTTCGGAGGGCTCCCCAGAACCGTGTCCCGCACGTGGCGCCTTCGCTGCCGGGCAGAGCAAACCTGGGGAGCACAGCGAAGGGCGCGGCTTCTGACCGGGACCCCCTGTCTGCAGTTATCCTGGAGAAGCCCATCCGGATCCCCCGATTCCTCTCCGTCAAAGCCTCCCATGTCTTGAAAGGATTTTTAAACAAGGTACGCCCGTAGACACAGGATGGACGTCATCTGGGGCCTTGGCTTCTGGCTCGGGGCACCCACTGTTAGGGGCTGAGGGTTTTCGGTGACTGCGCTGGGACACCTCAGTGTGACTGGGAGCCTGTGCTTCCTAACTCGAGCTCTGTCCTGTGAGCCTGTGAATCGTGGGTTTTTATTCACACTTGACAGAATGATGAGAAATTAGGCCACTGAGCTGGGGGGTGTTTAGTGAAGGGTGGTTCTGATCCATCCTGCAGGGCTGCTGAGGCCCCAACTCCTGCCACATCAGAGGGGCAGGCCGGCCCCCTGCTGGGCACGGCTAGCCATGGGGGGCTGTGAATGTTGACTTGTCCTTATTTGAACTATGACCTCTAGGATCCCAAAGAGAGGCTGGGCTGCCGGCCACAGACGGGATTTTCTGACATCAAGTCTCACGCCTTCTTCCGCAGCATAGACTGGGACCTGGTAAGCCCTTCCAGCACCTGCCTCATCTCCCAGTGACACGTGGGCAGGGAGGGACAGGGAGGGACGGGTGTGAGGGAGTGGTGGGCCCCCTCTGGGGGAGGGTTTGGGAACTCACATGTGACAAGGAGAGTGAGGAGAGGCTCAGGCCCCTGGTGATAGCACTTGGTGGTCCTGGGAGGGGCGTCCTGCTGTGTGACCCTGCAGGTGGGGGGCCAGCCCAGAGAGGGGCATTTTCTTTGGTTTTCCAGTGGTTGGTTTCCCAAAACCTGGTGTTCTCGTCCTGGCTTGGGAAGTGGCCGAGGGCGCCGTGTTGAAGCCCTTCTGACTTTAATGCTGAGGGTCCTGATATTAGAGGAGAACAGAGCCTAATTCGTTTGAAAATATATAAACGGTTGCAGTCTTACTGACATGTAACCTTTAAAGTATGGTTTTTTTGACAAAAGCAATTATATAGCTAAATCAGTAAATGTCGAATTCTAGCTTGAAAGAGGTGGGACGAAGGACGAAAGCCCGCTCTGGGGCTGACGGGCACCTCCCTCCATCTCTTGTAGGGCTCCCACTCCCTCTGGTGACTGTCACTTTCCACGCACAGGACTTTGTGCGTTTGTGGAACTGAGGGGGATGCACAGCCAGGCGCCCCCAGTTCCTGAGACCCTGGTCGGGGTGGGGGAAGCAGTCAGGACTTGCATCACTCCCACCCACATGCAGCGTCCGGCCCCGCTGGGCGATTTCAAAGCAGCATCTGATGCAGTCACCCCTACAGTTTTAGGAGCAGTGATGAAAAACGGTGTTCAGAGCGCCGGTGCTTTTTAAGAAACCGATTGAATTTCTTCATTTAATTTCATTGTTCTGCTCACACAAGGCAAAGAAAGCTGGACTCTGCTCTGTAACCCTTGCCCCACAGCTAGGGCACGCCTGGCCTGGAGGGAGGTGCTGCCGCCAGGCTGTGGTCAGTGACGGCAGCGTTGTTCCGCCTCCAGGCTTGTCTCCCACCTGGCACCCGCACTGGTCTGACCTTTGACTCTGCAGGTTTAGGGTTCCAGGAAGTGTAGCTCCCACACAGCCATGGGCTCCAGCCAGATCGCAGGCCTCGGTGAGAGCCCTCGTAGCCTGTGGCTCCGTGTCCCCTGAAGGTGGCATCTGGTCACTTCTGGTCACTGCGTCCTTGCTGAAAAGCCTGTCCTTGGGTGCGGCCTGGGTGCCGGCCATGCCCCTAATCCCATCATAATCATAAGCTGGGAAGGGGGGGTAAGGGCTGATGGCGTGGGTGTGAAGCAGTGGCCTCCTCTTTTCATGGGCAGTGTTTGAGCCGCATGCAGACCTGGAATGGGCCAGCAGTGGTTCCTGAGGGAGCATGAGGGGCACGCGGCCGCCCTCGGCCTCTGAGTTGGGGGTGCCCCGGTGGTGGCCGCTCTTGTTCACAGGTGCAGACCGGCTTGGCGGCCTGGAGCATGTGCGTGAACAGGGACGTGGGCCCCGAGCTCAGCACTCGGGTGGGGTGGGGTGGGGGGCTGAGGGGGGCTGTTTTCTGTTTTCTGAGGGACATGGAGACAGGAAGCGGGGGGATAGAAGCATTTTGGCAAAGTGGGGTTGGTGTCCCGCTGCCCGGCCTGGAAGCCCCTCGCCTTGGCCCCAGTCTGCTGTCCTGTATCCCATCCTTCACTTCTTGTCGTCTGAGGCCTGGGCCACCCCCTGCCAGGCAGCCCCCAAACATGGAGTTTCCCTGGTGCTGATGTTCTCCTAGGTCTGGATCATCTCAGCATGAACGTGGGCCGCACGGCGCCGGCCGGCCCTGCCTGAGCATGGGCACCGAGCTATTGGAGGTCTGGGTCTGGTGGCTACACGTCTCGGGTTAGGGTTTCTAGGTGGTCATTCGTCAACCTGCGGTGGTGTTTTGTATGCTGCCTGGTTCTTCGCTGGAATGTTTTGTGTTCTCTGGGCAAACACAGAATGAGGGTGACTTGATGGACAGCTCCAGGCAGACCCTGTTTATGGGTTCCACATCAGTGTTTGGTCTACGTAGGTCCATTCTCGGGGTGTCCCACCTCTTCATGGGCCTGGCATCCTTCCATTGGCCGCTGGACGTAGCACCTGAAAAATTAGTGAATCCCTTGCGGCCCACGGTCTTTTCCACAAACCTGGGTCCCAGCTCCAGAATTGCCCCACTCCCGCCGAGGCCAGGTCCAGGGCCAGCTGGCTTCCCTCTCCCCGTCCTCCCTCTGCTGCCAGGCCCTGGCCGAGCAGGGCTCACTGCTGGCTGCCACCTCCTCCCAGCTCCACACCTGCTGTCTTCTCACCACCCCGCCCCCTCAGCTCCTTGGGGATTTTAGGAAGAAGTCACATATTTTGCCCAGATTTCTCTAGCTGTCTTCAGCAGGACAGTGGTTTGGTTAGCACTGTCTCTGGCTGCAGACCCAGCAGTCCTCCTTGACTCTCTCGCCTCCCCCACTGGGACCTCACAGCTCCCTGGCACGCTGTGCCGCAGGGCCTTTGCGTGGCCGTGCCCCTTCCCACACCTCCTTCAGGCCATTGCCTCAGAAGGGGAGCCCCCTGCACCATGGCAAACGCCCCCTTCTAGTGACGCCGAGTGTAGCTAAGTGTGGCCTACACAGGAGCACCACTCCAGGGCGGCTCCGTTCCTGTTCACTACTTTTGAGGAAAGAGGTGACACTGGCGAGTGGGTCACTCTCAGAGGGCAGCCGATGTGGCCTGGGGCGGGTGGGCTTGGAGGGACCCGGCGAGCACCCGGCTGTGCTGCTTTGTGGTCAGCCCTGACTTGTTACATCTTTTAAAGCAGCTGAGACCTAAGGCAGGGAGCATGGTTTACGAAATGCCCCCCTTTTCCATTTTTTATCACAGTGTTTCCAACTGATAAAAGAATTCAGGTAATTGCATATGAAAGGTAAAAAGTCATGAATAAAGAGAACGCCTTTGTCCCCATGATGCCGCCCTAGCTGTGGCCCATCCTGGCCGGGTGGCAGCTCACACGCACTCACGGACTTACACATGTGTGTGCAAACACCAGCGTGTCTCCACCCTGTGGCCTGGCTGTGGACACTGCTGGTGACCCCGGCTAGCTTTCTGGCACATCCCTGGCACCTGTTGAGCATCACATGTACAGGACTCGTGTTTCTGTGACATCTCGTTCCCGTCCCCAGCTTCATTCTTTACAATCCCCCAGGACGTAGCGGCCATTTTCAGTCTCCCAGGCCCAGTTGTTCCTGTTGTTAGAGCTGGTGCCCTGACCGCCCTGGGCCCCAAGACGTAGACGCGGGTGCGAGCTGGGGTGGGCTGGGTGGCCTTCGTGTCCACTCGGCAGCCACCCTCCCCATCACATGGGGCCTGGGCAGGGACCCATGGGCATTGGCCGTGTCAGCGAGGCGCGTGTAAACGGAAGCGTGTAAACGTGCGCACCGTCCGATGCTTGTGGTCGGAGTGTGCAGACACTGAGGCCGGTAGAGGACGCACAGCGCTGGCTGACGTGCCTGCCCTCTGCGTTGTCTCCGAAGCTGGAGAAGAAGCAGGCGCTGCCGCCGTTCCAGCCACAGATCACTGACGACTACGGGCTGGACAACTTCGACACGCAGTTCACCAGCGAGCCCGTGCAGCTGACCCCCGACGACGAGTAAGCCCTGCGGGGACCCACGAGGGGACGCCCAGTCCTGTCTGCAGCGGGCTTGGTGGGAGGTGTCGCGCGGGGGCGACCAGTAGCCGTGCCCTCTGCCTGTGCCCACAGGGACGTCATCAAGAGGATCGACCAGTCCGAGTTCGAAGGGTTTGAGTACATCAACCCCTTACTGCTCTCCACCGAGGAGTCCGTGTGAGGCGCCCGCTCCGCCGTGGACACGTCCGACTGACCCCTAACTCTGTCCTTAACCACAGCGCATGCATGCCAGCTGGGCGCCGCCGCAGAGAGCGGGCCCGGGCGTCCATGGCGCTCGGAGCAGGGCGGCCTCGCGCCGGAGGCGTCTGCTTCTTGTGCCTGCGTCACACAGGACCGCGGTGACCGCATCCCAGGGAGAGACGAGCCACGATTTCGAAGGTGCACACTTTGCACAGAACAGAACGGACACTGACCTGCTCCTCCAGGAGTTACCTGTAATATCCCGAGGAATAAAATGTGCCGGTGATGTAGATGCTCCCTTTGCTGCCTTTCTTCCGCGTGGGGCATCTGCCAGCGTCACAGGCATGACCACATGTGTGGAGGCGGCGTGAGGCGTGTGCAGAGGGGGCTGGGGACGGGAGCTGAAGTGCCTGCAGGGACACACTGCGACGAAGAATTTTTACAAATTCGGAACATTTTCTAAATCCCGGTAAGTTCCTGTTGTTAATATTTAACAAGTGTTTTCCCACCGAGCGTGTAAGTGGCCGTGGGGTCTAACGCTGAAGTCGGTCACCCCTTACCCAGGTGGGCACCATGGTCCCCCCCCCAGCGCGTGGGACCAGGATGAGGAAAATTGGATGACAGATTCGAAAACATTGCTCACCAAAGCACCAGTACACCAAAAAAAAAAAAAAAAAAGCTGGAAACTATATCTGCTCAAAATATATTTCTGAAAACACTAAGCAGTGCCTACATGATGTCTTCTGTTACGTAGATTTTTGGAAAATATTTTTATCGGTAATGATGCTGCTGAGGAAATTTGCAAAGATATGTAGATGGGCCCCTCGCCTTAAAGTGGGACAGTGAACCTAGAATACCCACAGACACGCTGCACTTTCCTGAGGCAGCACACCTCCGACTCCCAGCAGAGGTGGCACGTGTCACCCCGTCACCCTCCTTCTTAGGTGGCTTCTTAGGGACAAGCCAAAGGCTTTCTAGGAAGATGTAAGTCATGGGTTTTCCAGTCCCTAATATGCTAGGTGTGACGCGAGCCCGGGCAGCATACTGGAGAGGGCTCCTCAGACACCAAGTCCCCAAACATCCCTCGCGCGACCTTAGCCTCCATCGCCATGTCCTCTCTGTGCTTCTGTGACAGGCCAGGACTCATTTCTCTATCGTGTGGCTGGCGGTTTGAGGCAGATTATGATAAAAGGAAAAATGCAGGAGCCACTGCCGTGGCAGACAAGTAGTGCCCCACAGCCCCAAGTGTCACCAGGAAGACTTGCTCCCCAAGACTGAGATCAGGGACCACAAGGCAGAACCCGAGAACCGACTCTGGGTCTTAGCTGGCAGGGCCCTTCAGCAGCAGAGCCCTGATCTGAGGGCTCTGCGGTCACTCAGGACTGGTGACCGAGCGCTGGGATGTGCTGACGTCACCTGGGGAGGGAGACCCCAGGGTGCCCAGGAAGGGACCCCTTCCTCCTGCTGCGTTGGGCAGTGACAGCACCTTTCCTCAGTCAGGCCCGGGGCCCGGGACTTGTCCAAGTTCAGGGCATGCACTTCGGTGTGGGTGTTGCCAAGGAGCTTCCCGGCAGCCAGCTTGCTCGCTCGTGTGCGAGGCGTGTGCAGGCCACCGTGCTCACCAATGCAGGAAGGCTTTCATGTATAGCCATGTGTTTTATAAGTGACAGGTGAGGGATGTACTGCAGTGAGGGTGGGGATCAGAGATCCTGACATTGGCGAGCAGCTCGTCGCGATGTGTGTGTGCTTTTGAGATGGTTCGCGGAAACTCTGGTGACGCCACGATTGTAAAGCGGTCAATCCGTGCGTGTGCTTTTGTACAATTAATTAGCGGAGCCCGTGGCTGGCCGGTTCTCCTTCTGTGGATGTTCTCACCTTCGGCCAAGGTCGTTCGTGTTCTTGCACATCTATTAAAGACTTTAATGACAACGCTTACTGTTATTATTTTCATTAAAAGTAGGTGTTTCCAGGAAGCAGAGGTTTTTGAAGCCATTTTTTAAACATTTTATTAGCGCAGTTTTGGTTCACAGCAAAATTGAGGGGAAGGCACAGGGATTTCCCATGTTCCCCTGTCTCCCACATAGCCTCCCCCCAGTGTCCCCAGAGAGTACATGTTATAGCTGATGGACCTGCACGGACACGTCACCACCCACCAGGGGCCCTGTTTACATCTTCATGTTGCAGGTCCTGTGGGTTTGGACAAAACGTTTGAGGACTTGCCCACCGTAAGCAGAGCCACCTCACTGCCCCACACCCTCTGCTCCGCTGCCCCCGGGCCCCTCCCCCACACTAACCTTTTGAGCAGCTCTGTAGCTGTGTCTTTTCCAGAATCTCAGTTGGGATCACATGGGATGTGGCCTTTTCAGGTTGGTGTTTTTCACTCGGTAATTTGCATTTAAGTTCTCTCCACATCTTTTCGTGGCTGGTGTGAGGTCATTTTTGAAAGGAAATAGGGACTTCTGCAAGTTAATCTCGGGGCTTTCTGTCGGCCCCTTCCAGCCACCATGGCTGAGGCAGACACGAGGGTGTCAGGCTGGAGGTGGCACTGAAGCCCGGTTCTTTTAGAACCGGGCCAAACAGCACATCGCTCCCCTGCCCTGAAAACCCACGTGAGACTGACACCAAGATGGCCTGCCACTGCCCATGGCACCTCCGCAGATCCCATCCCCTTAAATCCTGTTCCAGCAGGAGCCGCCTGGGCTCCCCAGCCAGCCGGCCGATGGCGGGGCCCCAGGGCACCACCCTGGGACAGTTTCCTCACCGCAGCAGCACTCTGGGGGATGGACATGGGAGAGTGAGGAGAGCAAGCTGCCCCAGCCTGTCACCTGTGCCCAACGGGCCCGCTCAGGCGCACATGCCCAGTTCAGCTCCCGAACCGTCGGCTGGCTTGGCCTGCCCAGCCTCAGTCCAGCATCAGTCTGCTTTCTGACCACAGCCAGCCCCTCTGCTGAGCATAAGCCAAGAGAGAAAAAGGATCCGCCGTTTGGGTTTCAACAGAAAGAGAACATGACAAGCAGTTCAGTGACAGGTTTACTACACAGGCAGCTTTTCCACGTGTCGGCTGAAGTGGAGGGGCCTGCGGGGATGAGGGCACGGTGCTCACCACACCACGTCTTCCGTGCTGTCCGCCAAGCACTGAGCCAGGTGGCTGTCAATGTCCACCTGGGCCAGCCTGCGAGGAAGAAAGATGGACACTCGGTCACCCATGGAGAGGGGACCCCTGGCCAGGGCCTCTGCGGCGCTTTCACGCCCTTTCCGGGTGCTCACAACTGCACCAAAGCATGGCTGGCGGAGAGGCACCCTGACGGGTCTCCGTGGCTAGTTGGTAACGAGGCGGGGCCCACACCAACCAGGAAAGGCCCATCCAGACCTTTCAAAGGCTCTGAGTGCACCCTGGACAGGCACCATCAGGAGACCCTGTCAGGCTCTCTCAGGCTGGGGGCACCGCTTCCCAGTGAGCCGCCAGGGCATTTTGGCACCTGCTCAGCTTGAGAACCTCGGGCTCCTGGGCACTGCTGAGCCCAAGAGCCCAGCTAACGGCAGCAGCACAAGGTCGGGGCTCCTCCGCCAGGGCTGAAGGTCAGTTCTGAAGGTTGAGGCAAATCTGTCAGGGGCGTTGTAGCCAGGGCATCCCTGTCTCAAAACCACCCCCTTGGCCACCCGAAAACACAGCATGAAGGCTGGTGCCCCAGAGGGGGTGCAGTCCAGGCTTGAGAATCTTGTTTTGTTGATATGGAGGGACTGAGCCCCCGGGGGAGGGGAACTAGTCAGCTCGGGCTGCCAGCCCAGGTTCTGGGGCCTCCACGTGGCCCTGGGGGATGACCCCTCCATGGTGGGACTCGCATGGAAGGGGCGCCACTGATCCCCGGGTTCTGCGCTGCTCCGGCAGCTCGAGGCCACTCCCTCCTGTGACTCCTATGCCCCGTCGAAGTGTCATGGTAGCCAGGAGCCCCACCTGCCCCTGCACGTTACAGAGCAGGACATACCTCACCAGTCTCACCCCTACAGCTTTCCCCATGGGGCACCCCAGGTCCCTTCCAGCTCAGGCCCACCCAGGCCTCCCAGAAACACCCATGGCCATGGCCAGGGAGGTGGTTTGCCCACCAGCCCAGGTACCCTCTCCCTGCTCACAGGGACCTCCCAGGATGAGGCCTTTCCTCCACCCACCTCCAGGGCCATCCTGGTCAAGTGCCCAGGTTCACTGGCCAGACGAAAGGCCCGTCCCTGAGGCCCCAGTGTCGCCGCGTTGAGGGTAAAAAACCTTTTGCTGCAAGGTGCCACCAGCCAGGACGGCACCGGCCTCTCCCCCGACCTGGCTCCACAGCCAACCCCCTGCTGCTCTCGGGGCCCAAGCGGTGCCGGTGCCCTTCGGCTGCCTTCTCAGAGTTTGCAGACCCCGGCCGGTGAGCTCTGGGCCCCTGGGGCCACTCAGCCTGTCCTCGGAACCAGCCTCTACAAGCTTTTTCTAAGGCTGCCAGAAGATTCTACGATCTGGACCTGGGTCATCCTGCCCAGAGGTTTCCAGCCAGTGTCCCTCGGGCAGGGGCAGCCTCCGGGATTCCTTCAGACCTCCCCCCCCAGTGGCAGAGCGTTGCCTCGGCTGGATCTGTCACACGCGGCTTCTGCTTCAGCTTGTATCACAACCGTCCAGCGGCGTCGCCGCATCTGAAAGACAGCGTGTGGACGTGGACGGCAGGCACGGCTGCGGGAGAGGGGGCTCAGCCGACACCTCCAGTGGTTTGAGTGCAGACAGGGCCACCAAGCTGGTACAGCCACACCGATGGGGACACACACAACCCAGGTTCTGGTCTCCACGTCTGGCCTGGGAAAGCCCATCTTTCCCGTGTGACTCACGGCCAGCAGAAACCCACATGGCAACTGAATTCAGCAGCAAGGGGTCTTCAGGGGATAGCACTTCACACCAAATAAAACATGAGTGGCCCGGAAAACAGACACGTGGAGGAAAATGACGCCAGTGTCCTCGTCCTGCCGTGCTTGGCCCCTCAAGCGCACCACCCCTGCAGCTGGCCGGAAGGGCGACCACACTTCTGGCTCCTGAGAATCACTACAAGCATTTTTCTGGGGACAGTCACGAGACAATGTGACAGTGCAATTGCTGTGTCCAGCTGCTAAACTGGGCCCTCCCATGGCCCAGCCTGTCCCCTTGTCCCAGAGCATCCATCCCATGGCAGGTGGGGACCTTATTTCCAAGACAGGGGACTTGTCATCTCCCCAGTCACTGCTGCAGCCTCGGGGGTGTGTTCTGGGCATAGTACTCTCTCTCCCTCATAATCAGATGGAAGAACATGCTAGAAGCATTCCAGACACGCTGAGACCTGGACTCACCTGCGCTCACACCTACTTTGGGAAAATGCAGACGCTCTGCCAAGCCTTAACTGCTTTAAAAGTTCAAAACTGGAACTTTTTTTCTCTCTCTAACGTCTCTGTCTTCGAGACCGTTTTTTTAGATGGTCCAAGGACAAGGCCTCCAGAACCAGACAAGGGGCAGAGGCACCCTGACGGCATCGGGAACCTTAAGGGCTTCTGAGCCTGGGTTTCTCTGGACGGGCAGGAGTTAGAATGCTTCACTGCTTCACCAGCATCACCAAGTGGGTCAGTGGGCAGCTTTCAACGACCCCAGAACACCAGTCGGCAGAAGGTGAGCAGTACCGCGCCAGCTCTGGAAACAGTTTGCAAATTCTCCCGTGGGCCCCTTCACCCAGCACACGGCTCCCACCTGGGGACAGGCACTGCCTGGCCCAAACCACTGCTGTCACCTCCGCCCCACCCCAAGCTGTGCCATCAGGCTCACCCCCAACACCAGGCTCTCAAAGGCTGGGCGGAGGCTCGATGTGCGTTCAGAGGGGCCGTCGCCTCTGGATGAGGCCTGGCGGGGGGATCTGTGGGTTTGTGCTGTGTCTGGAGCACCAGCTTGATGGCATTTTTGTTATCAGCTAATTCTGGAATCTATTCTCTTTACCCTCGGGGCTGTTTTTGCTTCTGGAAGACCAGGGACATGGCATGTAACTGACGCACACGATCTCCAGGCCACACGAAATCTGGAGAAGGTCCAGTTATCCATTCACTGCACCAGACCGAGGTCGTCCCCGGCCAACTGACCCCCATGACCCCACAGCTGTGTCCTTGGCTGTGTGACACCGGGCCCATAGCTGGGCGGATTGAGATTAACTTCTTAGCAAAATTGGATTCCATCCCCTTACTTAAAATAAGGCATAAAGGCATGTGTTGGATTTTTTAAAAATAAAAACACCTGTACACACAAAAACAAAGTCTTCATTTTTAAAACCTCCAACCCACCACTTGGAAGGTGCTTCTGGGGCTAAACAGGAGTTAGGTCAGGGACCACAGTCTGGCTGGCACTACAGGCAGCCTCAGCCCCCAAGTCCCCCATGTCGGGTGGGCTGGGTTAGAGCAGAGGAGCTGCGACACTCTGCACTTGTGGCGGGAGAATGCAGCCTGTGGGGGGCCTTGAACAGTGGAGTGCGGGTGTCCCCCAAACCTACAGCCCTGTGCCCTCAGGCTAATCTTTATAGTCACTGCTCTGCCAACTCGGAGTGAAATATTACTTTTAAAAGGCCAAAGCGGGGCTCAGGCACCTCTCAGCCTTCTAAAAGTGGCTGGGGTTAGGGCCGGCAGAGTGGCTCAGTTGGTTAAGAGCTCGCTCAAGAGTTTGAGCTCTGAGCAACAGCAGTTCGAGTCCAGCCCGAGCTGAGCAGCCG